ATACAGGAGCAACAAAACAATAAAGATGAAAACAACGCATAACAGAAGCGCACACATAACAAATGAACCGATTTGCTGAATTTACCAACGTTTCTTGTAGTCATCGACCGAAACACCGCCAGGACCATAAGCGACCAACAGAAGCAAACCGCCGATGACAGACATTGTTTGAAAGAAGTCGTACTTCATAAAGTCACGGTAGAATCTATCCGATGGTACAGTCCACCATGCGTTCAGGTAGAGATTCAGTCCGAACAGCCATATCACCAACACGAATGCCGACAGCTGAAACTGATCACTTCATCGAATCTGCACAAGCACAGTCTATCTCTACTAAATGGAGGAATAAAGAACCTTTGTCTTGTATCCGACCGTCACCAACGCCATCAGTCCACCACCTACGACCATTTCAACTATTTGCACGAAGTTCCATTCGAAATGAATCAATGACAAGAACATGAAGATTAGAAACACTCTTCCTGAATCATCATTCTCTCAGTTAGTTTCTTTATAGAAATACTGTTCCAGTCAGTTTCTTTACAGTTCGTCTTTTCACGTCCAAAAGTTCTGTTTCTATTAAAGTTATTCCCGCAAAGCGACAATTGAGATACTGAACAAATACAATCAATAAATTGCAAGAAGCATGTTTTACATTCAGTAATCGTATAATTCATGAGTACATCCCCCAAAACAATCAATTACCAGTTAGTAACATCGCAGATTTCGATCGGTTTTGATCACCAACTTGAGGAACACCCGCGAACAGACTTCGATTCTCTTCTTGTGTTTCAGCAAATAACAACAACAAACTTCCACCAACAGCTACATTTCTGAAATATTATCCACACTTAACAAGTCACTTTTCTGACCCTTCATAATTCGGAAATGAATTCATCGTTGTTGCAATCTGATATTACCATCTGTCTGCTCAACTGAATTATTAACTCATCAGTTCACATGGCTTATGACAATTTTTTTTGTAGAAATTTTTATTGGAGAGCTTAAGCAATCCATTAATTCAATCGCATAACTAAACCAGCAACGTACTTCAAATCCCACGTGGATAATTTATCTAAAGAGTGGATTAGTTTTGCAAAGAAAGTGATTCAAAATTCATTCACTAAATGAAAGCTGAGAATAGAAATAAAAATGAGAGAAATTAAATGATTTCACCTGGCAAGGAATTTCAAATCCCATAGTATATGATACGCGATAGTTTGCAGCACAACAACTGTAGCAAGTAGGGCACATGCAATACCAACCTCAAACAGCATTGCTTTGATTACGTCTATACGTTTGAACGTACTTAAATACTCTGAACGTAAGAATTATAATCTTATTCATTACCCAAATCACGAATAATATTTTAAAGTCACCTTCTTACGTGCCATTACCATCACAACTGGTATGATTTGACCGAAAAAGTTATACACAACGAAAAGGGTAGCCAGAAACCATCCGCATGACCAGGATTCCTGGAATTTCGGCTCGATTTATCGAACGGAAAGAATTTTCGAACCGACTTTCATAACGAACGGATAATGAATTGACAAATAACAACAGAACAAATAAGTATAATAAATAAACGAATAGAAAGAACCTGCATGAATTGTCGCTGATCATCCCACTGAATCCACATCCGAATTCCATCTTCAATAAATGTCGAAATCAAGCAAAGACGTGCCACGTGCGGTAACAAATGTTTCGTTCTTCTCAGCACCTGTTTCGTTCATATTACATGATGTGATATATCAATGAAATGGTGAAGATCATCATTAGTCCTAGGAATACTCTTAGTGCTTGCTACAACAGTACAGAACACGCAGTTCATGCACGCCATGATGCAAATGTTTCATATTCACCAAATGTGGGCGCGATTTAAACTCAAATACTTCCTATCATCAAAAACTTGGAATGATTTCCAAAGAAGAGCTTATCTCGCAATCAAATTCCATCCAATAAAATAAACCAATTCCATTCAATAAAATGAACGATGAAACATCAAACATAACACACCAAAAAAAAGTCCTAACTGTGCGCCACAACACCAATTAAATGACGATAGACTCACAAATACAGATCATCGATTCCTTTTTTGGAATGATATTATACTGATAAACGCTTCTAACTATCAGATCAGGACGGCTGACTTTTTAGTGCACAGAAACATGTCAATCATAAAATAATACGAAGTGATTGACATTTCTTAAGTCAACCACATTTTTGCAATCTATACACGATAACGTACTTCTTAAGTTGCGAATTTATGTTTGTACGATCATATCACTTGCAGCAGTAGACGGATGGGTGATGCTACACCTCATCCTCGGATCTACTTCAGTCAAAGGCATTCTGTGTTGCACTCGCCGAGTATTAAATCTTATTTGACCATAGATACAAGAGTAATGAATCAATAAGTAATCAGATGGATGGATGATGATCATTGAATTGAAGTTATGATAATCACTGATCATTAAAATTATCGACGACCAAACGAAACTTCATTTTATGACATCAATTCCCTCAAGATAAACAACAACGACTCACATCATCCGCGACATCTTCAGCCGCACTCAAGAATTCCCGTTGTCCACCGGTTCTGAACTGGTCCATACCAGAATTGCACACTTCTTGAAGGTAGGCAGAACCTGAAATGTGGATAATGGAACGTATTGTACGCACAAACCAAATATTCATTCGCTATCACGATAGAACGTTTTAACCAAACGATGAGACACGATCAGATGAACGCAATGGCAGTGTTCAATGGTATGAATCCGAAAAAGTATGAACATAAACAATCATAAGTGCATGTGCACCGCATGAAAACACGTCGATAAAAAAGAAAAAGAGACAATGTCGAAAAGTTCACAGTTGTAGTGAATACACTTCAACTAACTATTGAGACATGAGAGAAAGATGTGTCAAAAAATAAATAAATCACAGAAATTTACGACGGAACATCGAGAGAATTCAGTGTGAAAGATTAGGATATTCAAATTTAAGCGCTTCAATAGTACCTTCATATGAACGATTGAATACATGATAGTGAAACAAACCATCGCACTGAAATTCATTTCAACGATACAATTCAATTCATTGATTCAGCCGATATCATTGAAAAGAAGCATGCTAGCAATAGGAATACTGGAGAAATGTTTTGATCATTTAATATTCAAGTTTCGCACAATCAAAATAATGATAACACATCTGATTTCATCGAAACAAAATTTCAGTGACTTTGAAATCCATGGCTAAAGGGAAATTATAAGGATAATGAGGCATAATGAACGTTTCATGTATGAACCAACATTGGAACGAATAATTCAAAATAACGAAAATTAGTTATGTTTAGACGGTGAGCGGTTGCTTTGTCGATCGCTCTATGCGATCGGCAAAATGTTCGTCACTGTTGCGATTGTTTAATGGATTGTTGTTGGTATTCGGCTGGATTTAATAATGCAAATTATCTANGGCAACAGACACTCGTTATTGGTTGGTTGTGGCGTGCTTGATACGCCGACTGCTATGGATCTACTCGGTTATATTGATCGTTTATTATTGACAACGAAAGATTACTGATTCACTACTGTTGGTTGTTCCAAACAACTACTCTGAACGATCGTTGGACAAGTGTTCAATCGATCAATCGGAACGTATTTTCAGGCTCATTCTGAGTCCTTCGCCTAGAAATCATTGGGCAATATGGGAGAGTAGCCCAAAACCTCTGTGCCTGCCAGATCAATAATCCAGGTTCGAATTTCATGAAGACAGATGATTCCAAACGCTATTATCGGTAGCTGTGCGGAAAGAAGAATGCCAACGAAGGAAAAATGTGATATTATTGATATTGGTGATAACAGAGAGGCATAAACCCGTAATGACTTTGATTTGCTGATTAAATAGATAAATTTAAAAAAATTCAAAAGAACAACTTCCATCATCGTTCAACAAATGTACGCATTTCAGCAGAATGAACACTATTCACCGAATTTTCACTCAATCCATTTTACTAATCAATATCAACATCAGAGCACGCGATAATCCAGGCGTTAAATAATGCCACTGAATTTTTTCATACATGACCCCCCGCATGTTCCGATGCACGAATGAAGAAAGTTAGCTTCGCTAAACGTTAGTGCGCTGGAATTTATTTTTTGCTGCGGCGAAAATGAACGATAGTTTTTGTTGACGAATTAATCGGTTAATATCAGTCCGTTACTTCGACAATTTTTAGCGTTAAGAACCAAATTTTAAGAGTTACACCAACAGATAAGTGGTGAGTTAATGCGCTAACAAAAAAAGCTAGCTCCGTTAATGGCCGCATTAATGCTATCACTGACTTCCAGCTGAAATGACTGAGAAGGATTAGACAATCAAAAGAGCACTCACCACCTGTCACCGAATAGACAAACAAACGAGCACGTGCAGTAACCCTTGCTGACAGCAAACAAAAACATTTAACAGTTAGCTATAGACGATGCAGTTCAAGCACCGACTTACCTTATCTCCAAAAATTTTGTGCAACTACATTCCACAGCACACAATGAACAACATCGATAATTCATTAAAGTGTAACATTGATACGAACCATACCATTATGAAACGTCAGCATAGCACCTACTGCCTAACACAACTTCATTTATATATAGCACACACACATAGCACTGAATCGATTGCCTGTAAAATGCACTCTCAGTATCCGCCTCAATTTTAGCTTAATCCGCCAAAATTTCGGCTCAAACTTACTTTTGGTTTTGTCTCATTACCGGGCTTAAATTAGGCTTCGAGTAGTAAAGGACAAAGAAAGCTGTGTTCTGCGAAACATAATCGTCTAGTGAATTTTACATTTTACCATCCGAATCGAAACAGACACTGCCAGAACGGTTTTCAATCGTCACACTTACACACCGTCTGCCAAACGAAAGACAATGTTAAAATTAGCTGAAAATCGAT